AATCCGGAGACGGAAGCTCAATGACAATATACAAAGCGATGTTAAATTATTGAGAAATTAGAGAGACTCTGATAGAAAATGCATTATAATAAGGTTATCAAATGAATTATAATATAAATAGGCTATTATTACAAAAGTTGATAATCCGCCCCTTCTTCTAGTTGCTCTGAAGATGGATCTTATATATATGGTATAATGAAGTACCACATGGGTGGATATATAGGAATCAAAATCTGCCGAATCACTCATGTTATGATCTTCTACATCCTAGGTCTTCCCGTTCCATCATCTGGCTTATGTTCTTCACTCATGTTAAACAGTTTTTGTAAGAAATTTTTTTTATCTTTATCCCCCCAGCCTAGAAGGAAAGATACTTCTTTTACTATGATGAAAAATTTTCGATTTTGATCGCTTTATAGTTAGAGTTGATTGGTTGTACCTACCCAATAATCTAGAATGATTCACTATTCACTCGATTTTAGTTTTTTGGGTCATAATCATTATGTAGGAGAGATGGCCGAGTGGTTGAAGGCGTAGCATTGGAACTGCTATGTAGGCTTTTGCTTACCGAGGGTTCGAATCCCTCTCTTTCCTTTTCGTACCTTCACCTAATTCATTGATCTTACTAACCACAATAGATCAAATAGCAATGTATACGACTATACCCCATAGGCTTTCGCTTTCGCGTCTCTCTAAAATTGCAGTCATGGTAAAATCTTGGTTTATTTAATTATGAGGGACTCCCAAGCGCACGAATTTTCAAATGGAAAACTAAAGGCTTGTTATTTAACAGTATAACATGACTTATATGCCTGTGTCAACCAATATCTATCTGCATCTAGTTCAAATTTTTATAAATCAAAAGCGGTTTGCAAAAATAAAAAAAAAGATTTCTATACACTATGCATATAATATAATTTCACTATGACAATGGGTTGCCCGAGATTCGAACCCGGAACTAGTCGGATGGAGTAGATAATTTCCTTGTTAAAGTTAAATAAGTAAAAATCCCTCCCCAAGCCGTGCTTGCATTTTTCATTGCACACGGCTTTCCCTCTGTATACATCTAAAACTCAGTTCCTTCATTAGACCAGAAAAGATTGAATACTCACTTGATTTCATCCTTACTACATACTACATCAACATTTCAAAATAGAAAGAAATAATTTTTTGTTAGCTCTTCATTATTTACATTATTTATTAGATTATTTAGTGATGAAATTTATATTTACAAGGTTTCATAACGAATCATTCATGATTGACCAAATCATTGATACAAATAATATCCAAATACCAAATCCGCCTTCTAGATAACCTTCACGAAATGGAAGAAACCCTTGGAAAGGTCAGGGAAAAAACTTGTTCGTCTTCCGTAAAGAATTCTTCTAATAATTCCGAGCCGAATCTTTTCAAAAAAGCACGTACATTGCTTTTATGCTTACGAGCTAAAGTTCTAGCACAAGAAAGTCGAAGTATATACTTTACTCGATACAAACTCTTTTTTTTTAAGATCCACTATGATAATGAGAAAGATTTCTGTATATACGCCCAAAGCGGTCAATAATATCAGAATCTGAGAAATCGGTCCAAATCGCCTTACCAATAGGATGCCCCAATGCATTACAAAATTTAGATTTAGCCAATGATCCAATCAAAGGCATAATCGGAACAATAGTCTCAAACTTCTTAATAGCATTTTCAATTATAAATGAATTTTCTAGCATTTGACTACGTACCATTGAAGGCTTTAGCCGCACACTTGAACGATAACCCAGAAAGTCAAGGGAATGATTGGATAATTGGTTTATACAAATCCTTCCTGGTTGAGACCACAGGTAAAAAGAAGATTTCCAGAAATTGACAATGTAATATTTCCATTTATTCATCAAAAGAAACGTCCCTTCTTTCAAAGCACCGACATATTGATAATCCGCCCCTTTTTCTATATTCAAAATAGGTTATTTTCGATTGTTTCAATTGTAATTATAATTCATTTATTCATCATAGTAAAAGAAGTATCTTTCCTAATTGTTTCAGAGCAACTAGAAAGAGATTCTTTAACCAGAAAGAATTCGGTTCAGATGTAAGATACCTATCCATAAGTTTTCGCAACTCAATCATAGATGACGGAATCATCAAAGATTTGACCTTTTCGAACTCTGTCTGTAACTCACTAGAGGCCCCGAAAACAAAGAGAATACGTGTACAAGCGAGATATGCAGCAACAAGAAGAAGGAAAAGGATTGCATAGAATTTGCTTCAATTAAGTTATGTTATGGAAAAAGAGCATTCTTGCGTTTTTGCCCTCCTGCTGAGAAAGCGACTCATTTCTTAAAATACTTCAATTGGTACACGCAAGAAATAGGCCAATTCAGCAGCTTTTTGTTCCATTTCCCGTGGAGTAAAATTCTCATCAGTACGAGTCAATGGAATGGCTCCCTGGCCTCTGATATCCATATAAAGAACACGACGAGCATAAATACCTTCTTTCAATTAAGTTATGTTATGGAAAAAGAGCATTCTTGTGTTTTTGCCCTCCTGCTGAGAAAGCGACTCATTTCTTAAAATACTTCAATTGGTACACGCAAGAAATAGGCCAATTCAGCAGCTTTTTGTTCCATTTCCCGTGGAGTAAAATTCTCATCAGTACGAGTCAATGGAATGGCTCCCTGGCCTCTGATATCCATATAAAGAACACGACGAGCATAAATACCTTCTTTCACTTCTATTATGACAGACTGAATATCTTTTATAAGAAATTGGAGGAAGACCCGACGATTTTTTCCAGAAAATCCCCAACGAAAGATACACACTATTTTCGTCTTTTCTATCAAATCGATCATAACCACTACCTACATTCGACGAAATTGTGCACCATAAATAGGAGCTAATAAAAAGACCCGCGATTCCGTAGAAAGACATCACAATTCCTTGTGGAAAAAAAAAAACTATTTCCTGAGACGGAAATAAAGATATCAAATTTCTACCAAGATAACTCCGAGGTTCCAACCAACAAGAATCCTAATGAACCTAAAAAAGGATAACAGCCCAGCAGAAATTACTTGTTTTTCGAGCCCCCGTTATAGGTTCTATCCATATATGTTATGATCGACAACTCATACTTGATCCAGTTGATTTTTTTGGAATTGAGATAATACCCCAAATGAATTTGACTTTAGTCCTTTTTTTCCGAAGTGACTCGCATCAACTAGCACTAGTTTGATGTGATCCTTTAGGAGTAATTCATTAAATTCGTTAGATGTAAACTAATAACATACCCTTCGTACGATCTCACTAAAGATAGCCAAATAGATATAGATAGACTAACTTTACAGTTCAGCTATCCGTCAATTCGGGTCTATTTGAAAATAGCTAGAATCCATTGATCCCTATAGCATTTTTTGGAGACATAAGAGTTTTTCGGCGGAAGCCGCTTATACCATATTTTGCTAAATAGATATCTGTGTTATGATACAAGCGTCAGTTTTGAAAAAAAAAATAGATGAGATTTTGTGCCATCGGCTCTAAACAATCTTGTTTTTTTGAACATGAAGAAATAAAGAAGCCATTGCGATTGCCGAAAATACTAGGCCTACTAAAGGCACCAAACAGAGGAAAGTTAAGAGTTGTCATAGAATGGCTACCTCGATTTACTATTTGTACCTGTTATTATATTTATATTTTATATTTATAATATAAAGATATCTTATTATATATAAGATATCTTATTATAATTTGATAATTCTAAATTGGAATTATTATTATTACTTAATAGCTATTAAGTATAAATATAAGTATCTATCTAAGTGAGTATATAATGTAGTTTTTGATCTTTCTAGATGAAAGATTTGAAAGGATATGGATAAGATATTATTTTCTTCATTTTTTGCTCTTGTCTTCGAATTTCATTTACTAAGCAAAAAGTTTCTTAAAAATTAATTAGATTCTATTTATATTTATATTTATATTGAATATATTGAAGGGTTTGTTAGAATCCCATCCATCAGGGATTCTTAGTCAAAATAGGATTATCGTAAGATATAAAAAAAGAAAAAATTCTATATTTTATAGATTTTCATTATATATGACGAGAAGAGTATATTTTTTTTATTTGCCTAATTTCACGAAAATAAGAATTTCATATTTTATCTTGTTAATAGAGGCTTCTTGATCAATAATCAGGAATATAGAAAAAGGGGCGGATTTTCTATGACTCAACCAGGTTATCAAATGATTTCATTGCCCAATAAGGTTATCAAATGAATTATAATTACAATTGAAACAATCGAAAAGGAAATATGAGTGAACATATGCTCTAAAGTTGAAAATATCATAAAAATGAAAAAAAAGGGAGGGAATCCCCTAAATTAATATTAATTAAGAATTAGAAATCGGGAATTTAATTTATTTTTATTATAGGATCTATTGGATATCTTTTAGAATATGTCATGCCGCTACTCGGACTCGAACCGAGATGCTCTAGCACTGCTTCCTAAGAGCAGCGTGTCTACCGATTTCACCATAGCGGCTTACTCGAACTAATAATAGCCTATTTATATTGATAATCCGCCCCTTCTTCTAGTTGATAATCCGACCCTTCTTCTAGTTGCTCTGAAACAGTGGTTTGAAGTAATCCAAAATAACCTATTTTGGATTCATTGAGAAAATTTATTTTTTGTTTGAAATTTATGAAATCAGATAAACGAGAAATAATGAAGTATCAATAAAAGTAAAAAATGAAAACAGTTTTTTTATTCTATCGAGAGAATAATCTACTTACAAAAGTTGGATTTTAGAATAGGATAAACTATGTCAAAGCCCTAAGATAAGATAAATAAACGGACACCCTAATAAATGAAACTAATGAACCTTCAAATTGACTTTTGAACTCATTTTTTTATCAATTTGAGTGTTGACTAAAAAACTTATTTGATTGAATTGACTTGTTCAATATCGACGATTGAATATAAATAGGCTATTATTAGTTCGAGTAAGCCGCTATGGTGAAATCGGTAGACACGCTGCTCTTAGGAAGCAATGCTAGAGCATCTCGGTTCGAGTCCGAGTAGCGGCGTGACATATTCTAAAAAATATCCAATAGAAAGTAAGATATACGTGGAGTCATTAATTTTTACTCCAAAAGAGGTCTTATAGGTAGGGCTGTTTGTACAACACTCGTAGCGTAGCAGGTGCAATAAAAAGATAAACGACTTGTAAAAATGTAAAACTATATATAATTACATATTGGTTATTACTTATTAGCAACATAAAAAATATATTTTATTGAATAAAATAACCTAAAAAATTTGATGAGGTGGATGAAACACTTTTCATGCTCTAAGATTCACTTTTCCGTTCAACAAAAAAGAGCCAGAAAAGGCAACGAAAAAAATCTACGGAAAATAGAACAACAACTCATTTGACTCGTCATTCCCACAATCCAAATTCCAAAGAATCAGACGCAAATTCCGGGTATCGACAAATCCGAGAAGAGTGAAGAAGCAGCCATATAACATATTTCCCGTGTCCGTGTGAATAAAAGTCTCGATGATTCGAACAAACTGCGGTTCCTTAAACCAATAGAAATCCCACGAAAACAAAATCGCTGGAATAAGTCAGCATCATTTCTCCTTTCTCCGCCTAGCTGGTTAGTATCCGTTTTGTTTTACCATATGATTGTGTAACAATTTATTTTGAAGGAAACTGGGATTTTGTGTTTCTTTTTGTTTATCTCCCTGAGTAGCTTTCGATTCCTCGTTCACGTCCATTTTTCTGGGCGTTCTTCATTTGGGTATATGGAATGATTGAAGTTCTTCGATTCTTGTTGTCATTCATCGTTAATTGATGTTCAGTTTGCTCTACATAGGTACCCGTTGACTCAAATCTGGTATCAGTCAATTTAGTTTATCCGATTCTGGCGATTTGTAGACTTGTAGTTCATATAGACTAGAAATACGTTCTGATCACTTCGATATTGTTTTAATTTCTTTATGCTTGCCGATTGTAATTCATGCGTGAGTTTAGATTATGATTATCCGTTTTGGGTTTTTGATTTTGAATAGATCTTCATTTTATCGAGTAACTGCAGTGAAATTGGATCTCTATGTTTAAATCGGAAAGGGGTTCGTTGAGAAGAGATTGCTAGATGGGGAACACTTGCGTCGGACCAAGTTTTTTAAAGAATGGATTCATCCAATCAGTTTCCGATACAATGTGGCGAACCCGATCACCTGATGAACCTCCGGCAGCCTTTAACGGAGATGAAGCTACAGATCACCAATCACCATTACCCGTCCAAAACAAACCACCACAACACATAACGATCCCGAAAACTGGAAAGAAACAAGAAACAGAACCAGTGAAACCCAAGAAAGCTGGTCAGATGAAGAGGGTATCAAGTGCCGGACTCCGTACAGATTCCGTCTTGCAAAGAAAAACCGGCAACCTGAAGGAATTCTTCTCTTTGGGGAAGAAATTAGGACAGGGGCAGTTTGGGACGACGTTTCTCTGTATAGAAAAAGCTTCCGGTGAGCTCTACGCCTGTAAATCAATCGCAAAAAGGAAGTTATTGACCGATGAGGATGTAGAAGATGTGAGAAGAGAAATTCAAATAATGCATCATCTAGCGGAACATCGAAATGTTATATCGATTAAAGGGGCGTATGAAGATGCTGTAGCTGTTCATCTTGTTATGGAATTGTGTGCCGGAGGTGAGCTTTTTGATCGGATTATTCAGCGTGGACATTACACAGAAAGAAAAGCGGCGGAGCTTACTAGAACCATCGTGGGAGTTGTGGAGGCTTGTCACTCTATGAGTGTTATGCATCGGGATTTGAAGCCTGAGAATTTTCTTTTTGTGGATAAAAGGGAAGACGCTCTTCTCAAAACTATAGATTTTGGATTATCGGTTTTCTTTAAGCCAGGTATACTTTTGATTCATTCTTCTTGTTCTGTTCGAAAAAAAAAGTATTTATAGTTTACAATCTTTTGACTTCATACATGGTTCTTCTATAAATTTGATTAAATTTTTTTTTTTTTTTTTCAGGTGAATCTTTTCATGATGTAGTTGGTAGCCCATATTATGTTGCACCAGAAATCTTGAGAAAAAATTATGGTCCTGAAGCAGATGTTTGGAGTGCAGGGGTGATTGTTTACATCTTATTAAGTGGGGTTCCTCCTTTTTGGGCTGGTGAGTGATTAATATTTGAGGGAATGCATTAAGTCCTGTATCGGTAAAGTCACTTTGTATCCATGTTTTTTTTATGTTAAATACTTAAATTGTGATAAAAGTATTAACGTTTGTATCAATATTAATCAATCATATCAGTATTCATCAATTTTAACGTTCGATGAGTTTTTTTGTGTTAAATTGTGATAAAAATATTAAAATTTACCATAACCAAATTTTATATTAATTGTTATAATTTGGTGATGGATATATAGAAACAGAGCAAGGAATATTTGAACAAGTTCTTCATGGTGATCTTGATTTCACATCTGATCCATGGCCAAGTATTTCTGATGGAGCAAAAGATCTTGTGAGAAGAATGCTTATTCGAGACCCAAAAAGGAGATTAACTGCACATGAAGTTTTATGTGAGCCTTCAATTTGCAGACTAAAATACTATTTATAATTAATCTCTTTAGTTTAATAAGTTATATTCTAACTAATTGAATTTTTTTAGGCCATCCTTGGGTTCAAGTTGATGGTGTGGCTCCAGACAAGCCTCTTGACTCTGCAGTTCTAAGTCGCATGAAACAATTTTCAGCCATGAACAAGCTCAAGAAAATGGCTCTTAGGGTATGTTCAAATATTCAATTAATAATGTATATAATAATGTATATAAGTATATAATATAATATAATATAATAATATCATGTAGGTTATAGCGGAGAGCTTATCGGAAGAAGAAATAGCTGGACTGAAACAGATGTTTGAGATGATTGATACTGATAACAGTGGTCAAATTACTTTTGATGAACTTAAGGATGGATTAAAAAGAGTTGGTGCTAATCTTAATGAGTCAGAAATTTACGATCTTATGCAAGCAGTAAGACCAAATATTTATTACAATATATTTTAGATGGAAAAATGTTGAAAAAAAATATTTGATTATGATTGCATGGTGAACCCAGGCAGATGTGGATAATAGTGGAACAATTGATTATGGAGAATTTGTTGCTGCAACATTGCATATGAACAAAATCGAGAAAGAAAATCATTTATTTGCGGCCTTTTCTTATTTTGATAAAGATGGAAGTGGTTACATTACTGCCGATGAGCTTCAACATGCTTGTGAGGAATTTGGCATAGATGCTCACCTTGAAGAGTTGATTCAAGATGTTGACCAAGACAATGTAACTTCCTTATTGCCCTTTCTGTTTGTCATGTTAACGTAAGATAACAGGACATGACATGACATGACAGAAAATCACAGTCTTGTGGTCTGCATACTAGGACAAGAGTCCAAGACTGATGTGTATGAGACAAAATTTGTTTTTTTGGTCCCATCCAAAACGGTGGAAAAAGTACTTGCTCTTGACTTTTTTGTTAATGAAAAGACATGAATACCCTTCTGATCATTGTCATCGAAAATAACCTTGTAAAACTTGTTTTGTTCATGGTAGAACATAATCATCTTTGATTTGTTTTTTTTTTTTGTTTTTTCAGGATGGGCGCATAGACTACAACGAGTTTGTGGCGATGATGCAAGGACATGCCAATGTGAATGTGGGTGCTAAGAAAAGCTTAGATACTAGTTTCAGCATTAAGTTTAGAGAAGCACTAAAACTATGAACATAAAAGGTTTTCGTTTTTTCTTTCTTGTTTATTTATTAATGGTTATTTGTTGAGAAAATCATACGAAGATATAGGATTAAACAGTTGTTTGTTATACCAATCGGGATTCGGGTGTTGGACTCTTGCGGTTTTGAAGTTCAACTGTTTCTGCAAGTCTACACAAATTATATTGGTCTTATATACATACAAGTGAATGTGATAGAGAGTAATGATGATATGATTCTTGTTCATTTCTCTGTGTGAGTATTGAATCTAGAACTTTATATCTAACATAAATAATTGGACTGCGATGGAAACTAGAGGTATTATAAATAATTAATCAAGTAAAGAATTTATATAGGCTATCAGAACAACTTCGTATCAAGATATGATTTGGTCTGGGCTTTAGTTTTCGGTTTGAAGATAAAACCTTGGACAAACCTTAAAATAAAAGAAAAATAAATGATGAAAGACTTATAAATAGTTAGGATTTAATACAAATCCAACTTTTTTTTTTTAATTTCTTTTTCTAATGAGCTGTTCTTTTTACATTAAATGTAAAACATTTCATTAAAAAAAAAGGAAAAAAAAAACCATAAACATACATGGTATAAATGATAAAGACATATTATCTTTATAAGTAAACTTCTTTATTACACACGCATATCATATATATTTGTCTTTTTATATAAAGGGACGAGAAAAAGAAATCAAGACGTAACAATGTGCACCAAATATGGACGTTAGAAACATACCTATTTCATCTTATAATAAATATAGGATTGGGAAAAATACTGACTTTTAAAAAGATATTTGAGTATCAATCAATAGTTAAATTGCTTTTCAATAAATAAGAAATTGTAAAACATATCCATGAAATTCATATTATTGGTACCTTGTTTTATTTTTTTAAAAGAATTGTAATAATGATATATAAATATTCATAAAAGACTTTATTTTTCCTGCAAAACCACTTTTGAAAAAACACTTCCATTCATTCTTAAAATATGCTTTGGCTAAAAAGTTTAACCAACAAAACTTCCCCGCCATGGGATGTAATGGGAGGGAAAAGTTTTCGGTTTTACCAATTTACATATTGCTCCCTGTACGATATTACCTATTGTCAATTATGCGACCAAGGTTTGCATAAATTCCATTGTCCTAGTATGTTTAACTTGGCAAGACAACATTTAATAAAATCACCACCAAATTGCGAAAAAAGTTAATAAATTTGCGAGAATATTTTTTATGACATTAAAAACTATTTATTACAGAAAATCGTGAATTTTAGTTGTGGGTTCACGAATAAACAAAAAAACATGGATAATTCACAAGGATTAATTTTTGCAAGTAAACTAAAAGACACAAACTATTAAATAAATTCACAAGGAATTGAAAAGTACGATTTTTTTAAAAATGTGTTGAAATTTGGTAAAGATAAATATTTATAACAAACATAGACAAAATAAGGTATGATTAAAATGGTTAAGATACATTTCAACTAGACCTTTATTTGTTTATATTTTTGAGAAATATTTATTTTAGTCATTTAACTTGTAAAAACTATATTATTTTGGTGAGTTATTTATAAATTTAAGTATAATCGTTATTTTTTGCTAAATTAATGAATATCTTGTAAGAAAAGGTATCCTCACAATTTCCAGAGTGTTTTTTTCAGCAATTTAGACGATTATTTTATAATAAAATAAAAATAAAAAATTGACTATGTAAGTATATCAAGTCAAAATATGATTTTAATGAATAAATTTGTTTAATATGAAGTAAGTTGAAATGCATGGAAAATAATACTTATTTTTTACACATGAATTGAACATTTTTTAATGATTCATTCTCGGTAGATCGTTTATATTTCACGGGAGATGGAACCGTTTGTTTGTTACCAATATATTTTAACTATATAAATTTCAATGTTATTAACGTTATTAAAAACAAATTCTTAATTTAATTATATAAATACAATTATTACATTTTTGCATTATACTTTTATTTTACAACCTTGTGTTATTTTATCTAATTCAAACATTTTGAACATTTTTTAATGATTCATTCTCAGTAGATCATTTATATTCCACGGGAGATGGAACCGTTTGTTTGTTACCAATATATTTTAACTATATAAATTTCAATGTTATTAAAAAACAAATTCTTAATTTAATTATATAAATATAACTATTACATTTTTGCATTATACTTTTATTTACAACATTGTGGTATTTTATCCAATTCAAACATTTTATATTGGTAACAATTTTTTAAGATGATAAAGAAAAATTAATTAACTTTGAGTTTTATTGTTTACTCTCCAATTTAATCACACGTTTATAGAAAAATTTAGGCCAGTGACTCGTATACAAAGCCTCAAAAGTATCCATTTATTGAATGATTGGAAAAAACATGGATATTTTTTTATAGGGTATTGGGAGATATGAAGTTCCGTAAAATTGGAACAAATCCACATGGATGTTTTATGATTTTAGTTTCCACATGTGCTATACAAGGGATAACTTGAAGCTTGAATATGTCATGAATTGCTCCAAGGTAAATCGTCTTCCTTCTAGATACGTCTATTATGAGTGACACATAGCTTATGTATATTAAATCATAGGATAAAACATCTAACACTCGTTTAACATAGACAAGAAAATATTTGGACGAAAATTTATACATAAACCATTGACTATCAACTACTTTTTTTTACATATCGTGTTTATCACCCCTACAATATTAAAAAATTGTTGACTTTTAAGTGGATGACCGATGATAAATATCACGATATCGCTTCCTATGATGTAAGTTGTGGTATTAAAAAAAAACAGTTTAGAAAGTTTGTAGAGAAATTGAACCATAACTAAAGGGAATTTTACAAAGAGGTGTTTTATGTAACTAATATTAATTTAAGGGGTCTTTTTGTAACTTTAACCGGAATATTCGCCTCCCATTTTCTCTCTCCAACGCTCCCTGCCTTCAAAGCATTTTAAAAAAATATAAAAATTAAATCCATAAGCCGTATTTGTGTCTGCGCTCAGATAAAAACCCTAATTTCCCACTCTTTCTCTCTCCACCGCTCAACTTTCTCTCTCTCTACGCAAATCCTCATTCGACAGCTCGAGCTTCTCCTATGGCGACGGCGGGCGACGGTGCGACCCCATACCAAAGCGGCGGAGCCGGGGGGAAGTTTCGGAAGAAGCCTATTCGGCGTAGTGGTCTGGCGACACCGTACGATCGACCTTCTACCGCACTCAGGAACAAGAGCCCTAGCCTCTTCGCGAAACTCGTAGACCCCGCGTCTAGGCTCATACACGCTGGGGCTGATAGGTTCTTCGGCGTATTTCGTAAGCGGCTTCCTTCCATCGCTGCACCGCGTCCGCCAGGTTCAATATATTTGTTACAATTAGATTGCTTTTTTCAGTTTCTTGCGATTTGAATTTATTTTTGGGATTTGTGGATGTACAGATTTTTTTTGTATGATCGTTGTCGGAATTATATATGTTTCGTGTGACTTTAGGCCTGATTTGGTTGTATTGGCTGATTGCTGATCTTTTATTTGCTCAGATTTTATATTGCTTATGTTTTTACCATATAAAGGGCGTATCTTTAGAGTCACTTCTTATAAGCTCGACATGGTGTGTTCCCTTGCTGCCGCATTTTCAGCTGCGTAGGCTTAATATTGGTTTAGAAAGAACTCATCTTAGTAATCGTTGGCATACCTTTAAAATTGAGTTGTTTTTATTTTGTATGAACTGAGCTGCTGATGGGTGGCGTCTTGATTGGATCGGGTTTAGCATTGCTGAAGGCTTCTTATACAATTTGTTAGTTTTTAGAGGTGATTTGTCTCCGAATGGGAACAATTTTTCTTCAATGTATTAAGTTTGTAGTGGTGAATGGGAAAATTTGGTAGGGGAGTGGAACTGAAATTTTTTTGTTTGTTGGTCTCTTTAACATTGCTCAGTTTCATAAGGTCTCCATTAAACAAAGGATTAGGGTTTTCTTATGATAACGACTATGAAAAATATATCTTGCAAGTGGAAAGGCCGTCACAATATCATTATCCCTATACTTCATTCGAAGACTGTTTGTTTTCTGTATATCTGTATTTCACTACCATATGTTTCACTGCACACCATCACTGATGCCTGTGTATTTGTTATTTGGGCTCATTACATTCTCTTCATAAGCTCCAGCAAGACATAAACTGGATAGAGTGGTAAGGGGAGTTGGAGGAATTTGATATACTAGAAGTAATTAACTAAATATCAACTATGGATCATAATATTTTTATCTAGTAATGAATGTAAAACATATCTCTTGTTATAATACAATTCAGGTTAAATATGGACAACCAAGCAAGTCTTCATCATAAATTCATAATACTATGCCATACTCTGCAACTCCATTCCATTTAAGTTCCAATATTTTCTGAGGATTTATATTTTCTAATATGAAATTGGTTTTTTGTGCTCTACATTTATTTGGTCTCCATGTTGGTAATGCCATCCATATTACATGTTCTTTATATCACACTGCTTTATCCCTTTCTAATGCTCGCAATGTCCCTTACAAAAGTTCTCTTGTGACCAGAGACCCTTGAAGAACCGGATCCTAGCACCGATGAAGGTGGGAATTTGGCTAGCATCTCTGCTACCACTGAGATATCAGAGCTTGAGAATATGCTGAAACAGAAGACTTTTACTAGGTTTGTTGTTTAGTTTATGAGCATTATCCTTCTTTCTGTTTTGCCAGAATTGATGTGATATACCATTTCAGATCTGAAATCGAGCATTTGACAGCTTTGCTGCATGCAAAAGCTACTAACTCAGATGACGATGAAGGGGATAGAGCAAAGCTTCCCAGCCCATCATCTCAGTTTCTGAGGCTTGAAGCATCCACAAGTAGTCCACTTAATAAGCATGTGGAAGAGAGGGAAAATATTCATGCTATTACTTCAACTCCTTTTGTCACTTCAAGAGTGAGTTGTACTTGTATGAGTGTGTTCC